CAAACCAACCCTGCTTAGCTTCCAAGATCTGATGAGATCCGGCTAGCCTGGACAATCCATGTCAGGGAAAATGAAATTGCCTTTGGAGGGTATTGGAATCAGACCAACCAAGCTTCCAAATTCAGCCTCTCTCCTATTTCAGAGCAGCCAGGGCCGACCCCAGCTTATTTTGCACCCTAGGCGAGGATCCCTTCTGGCACACACACACACCCCGGTGCGCCAGGTTCAGCAAAAGAGCTTCCCCGGCTGCGGAAATGCAGGGCTTTTGGCGGTTGAGGGGCTTTTGGCGGGGGGCGGCGGGTGCAGTTTGGCGCCACTAAGGGCCGGCCTGCTCTAGGCGAACGCCTGGTTCGCCTAGTGAGCGAGCCAGCCCTGAGAGCAGCCCAGTGCTCTTGGGCCGCTACAAATCCTGATGTACTTTGTTCAGGCTGGCTCACTTTCCACCTAGATCCATCCCATATCTTGGCTTAAGCAGCAGCCGGCCAAAGAGTTGTTCTTCTCCTTCGGGAGTCCCTTAAGTTTGACCTGTGAGCAGTCTCTGGACGTTTGTCTTTGTAAGCACCTTCTTTTGATTACTTAAAACATGTCCCTGCTAAAAAGTTTCAGCCTCCGGGACCGAGTCTATAGAGAGGCCTGGCCATTTCCCGGAATGATGGTTACAGAGTTGTGCTCAAAGAAATCACTGCTTAATTGCTTATTGAACTTCAGTGACGGCGGAAGGAGGCTTTGTGGAACTGCCAGCATCTGGGCTTTATGTGTGTGCGCGCACATTTGTGTGTAAATCATGCCCTGTTTTGCACCCTCCTTTAAACCTGTTTGCCTCGTGTGTTGTTTTTCCCTTGCTTTTTTTCCCTTTGTCTGATAAATGAGGTAATAATAATTGTTTAAGTGGATGCGGTGTCCTATTCTTGAGCTCACCGACCAGAACAAAAATTTGTATTGTACTAAAATCTGGTGTTCAAGTGTGAAACCGAGTATTGTGGACTTTGTAACAGACCCTCCCCAAATTGGTTGCTTACCACACTCAAGCAGCAAGATTTGGTGATGCCTTTGAGCTTAGACGGCCTTTTGAAAAGGCTCCGGTCCACTTAAAAAGAGAGCTTTGAGCCAGGTGAGTGAAATGCCCATCCATTTCCAGAGGAGGCCTGTTGGAAATGACCAAATTGTTGGAGTTACAAGTCGCTTACATTTCAGTCATGATGGGGTTAACTGATACTGTTTGTTGTTAGTAAGCAGGAGGTGACAGTTATGTAACCTGTATCTACTTAGAAATAGTCTTTACTGGGTGGGGGGGACTTTGTGGGAGGTACCTGTAACCTTTCTATGGGCCAGTTAGCATCTTGTTTGCAGAAATTGCTCTGATCTCATATGCATGTATTCACAACTTTTCTTGTTGAATTTCCTGTATTTGTTGCTGACCAAGGAGGAGAAGAGTAGCCATTATCTTTTTCTCTAACAATGTGACTGTTCGCATTACTTAGATGCTAGGAGGATGTATTGTTTACATTTCTTTTGTCCAAACCTTCCCTACCTTTAAAAAAATCTTTTTATTAAAGTAGCTTTTTAAATCTAACACACGTATGCCTCTTACTTTGCCCCTGCCTTATTTAAAGGCAAGCCAACACAAATACAGAGAGAGAGAGAGAGACTCACTGACAATGGCCCTGGTCACACGGCAAAGTTGCCGCGGGAGAGGCATGGATAGTAGGCGGATTATCGGGGCGCGATCTCACCCCAACATCTGGGAAGTGGAGCGCACCCGTGGCTTACCGCCGACAATGCGAGTTAAAAAAACTAGTACCTCCAAGGTACTAGTAAATGTTTGCCGCGGACTGCCTCCAGACCCCCGTGCTGTGATCGCCCCGGCATGCGGCATTCCCCTCTGGTCCCTCGTTTACCTGCCGGTGCCGAGGGACAGACCGGTGGTGTGCCGCCAACGAGTCTGATCGCGTAATCGCTGATCAAACTGCGCCGGGGCAATTAGCCACACCTCCCCCCCGCGATATCCGGCCCGTGTGACCAGGGCTTGACAACATCAGGTCTCTGTTTGCAATTCCAAGAGGCATCTATCTTTCTGTAGATGGGTCTGGGTTGAATCCAGCAAGTCCATCCTCTGATTTATCAAGCCCAGTCTTGTCTCTTCTGACCTGTAATGGCTCTCCAGGCTCCTTCTCAGCCCTGCTACTTGAAATCCTTCTCGCTGGAGATGCCGGGGATTGAAACCCAGGACCTTCTGTACACAAAACACCTGTTGTACCTGTGCTCAGCTGCTAGACGCCTTTCCATCTCCCAGAGGGGTCCCCAGCCTTTTTAGGCCTGTGGGCACCTTTAGAATTCTGATACGGCATGATGGGCACAGCCACAAAATGACGGCCACAAAATGGCTGCCGCAGGAGTTGGAGGCAGCCACAAAATGGCTGCCACGCCTACTTCAGTCACGCAGATCCTTGTGCTGTGGTGGCAGAAGCAATGTTTTAAAAAATCTGCGCAGCCGATCAAATCTCCACTAGTCGATCAGAAGCCTTGCTGGGCAACAGCCCTACCTGGATCCACCCACCTCCTAAAAACATTTGGCAGGAGCCACGGCACCCGTGGGCACCACAGTGGTGATCCCTGCCATGAGCCATGATAGCTAGATGGAACCACTGAGCAGTCTATCCCTGGATACCAGGGAGTGAGAGTAAAGGATCCAGCAGGATTGTCATTGCATTTTGGAACACACAAACACAGGAAGGTGCTTGATACTGAGCCAGAGCCTCAGTCTATCCAGGTCAGCATTGGCCCTTTCTGTGCCCGTATTTTGCTTCGGTTTCTGAGCACATCCTATTCTTCCGTTCTGCATTCCCTCCCGCTTTCACTTCCGGTTTGTGTCGGGCAGGGGTCATTTCATAGAAAAAGAGGTGCAGGAGCTCATTAGCATAACTTATTTGCATATGCCACACCCCCTGACATCACCGGAAGTGTGTCAGAAGACAACATCCTTCTCAGGCTCCACTGGACTGTTTTGGATTGCTAGCTATTGGGGTGGGGGGGAATGTGCAGATCTGTCCTCGCAGAGGAGGGAGAGCTTGTACCTGAATAAAACTTGGTCTTAAAGGTGCCACTTGGCTGTTTTGGACCAGGCGCCGGGGGGGGGCTCTTCAACTTACCTGGCTGCTTCTTGCTCTGACTGAGGGCTGCTGGGAGCAGGGGGTGGGGCTTGTTGCATGTGCCTGCTCCCTGGGCTCTTTACTGCCAGAGCTCTGCTCCTGTGCGCTCCTGCAGGAAATGACCCCTGGTGTCGGGGCCTTTTCTTGTTTCTGCACTTGTTTTGCAGGAATCTGCATTCAGAGCACTTCCAGCACACTGTTCCCCCGCAGTTACCAAAACTCCTTTTGCTGCGATTCTTTGTTCTCGTCCGCTTTTGAACTGCTAATCCTCTCTAAAGTAGAATTTTTTCCTGTGGGTATTTAAGTGCTGCCCAGTGCCCTCCCCTGTTTCCGCCTCTCTCTCTTTAGGTCGACGCTCCCTCCCCGTTCTGCTTTCTTTCCCTCCTTCTCCAAAGACAAAAGAGGACGTGTCCTCCCGCTCAGGCAATTTTTTAAAAAAGCCAGAGAGAGAGAGCATAAGAAGGAATCAGTAAACATAAAGGACTAGGGCATCCCCTCCTCCCAAATGTGTCAGTCTTGCATGTGTGGGCCTGGATTGCCCCCTCCCTTCACTTTCTTTTTGAAAAGTTGAGAAAGAGGTTTGCCTTTCAAAGCAGTTGGTTAGCTCAAAAATGTGGGTTTTGCTTGTAGATGCAGACTGCATACAGAATACACAAATAAATAAGCAAAGGGGGGGGGGGAAACAGTGCAGAGGGAATGCATGCGACTGCAAAGTCAACCCTTAAGGCTTGACTCCTTGGATTCTCCGGAGCAAGCTGTCAGTGCAGAAAGGGCCATTGTCTACTGGGCCTAGCGGCAGCTCTCCAAAGTCTTTTACATCATCTACTACCTGAAATCTTTTAACTGGAGATGCCGGGGACTGGACCTGAGACCTTCTGCATGCAAAGCGGAAGCAGATGCTCTGTCATTGAGCCACAGACGCCTCCTTAGATAGCTGGCGTGGTGTAGTGGTTAAGAGTGGTAGATTCTAATCTGGAGAACCAGGTTCAAATTCCACACTCCTCCATATGAATCCAGCTGGGTGACCTTGGGCCAGTCACAGCTGTCACGGCTCTCTCAGCACCCCCCCCCCAAAATAAGTCTAGCTCGCAAAAAGATTTAGAACTTATGGCTGCCAGACAATCTTCGGATCCCACTTCATCTAGAGAAAGGGCCACTTTGGAAAGTAGACTCTGTGGCATTATACCCCATTGAAGTCCCTCCCCTCCCCAAACGCCATCCAGAATCCACCTTCCTCCCCAAAATCTCCAGGTATTTCCAAACCCTGAGCTGCCAACCCTGCTTCTGGAGACCTTTGCTAGCTTGCCCTTGTTGGGCACATAATGCTGGCCTTGGGTACTTTGGTCAGATCCACGATGGCCCATCTTCCGCTCCCTGGTTTGTCTGGGGCTGAATGCTTACCGAACCGGAGCCCTGGTCCATCAAGGTCAGTGTCACCTACTCAGGCTGGCAGCTGCTCTCCAGGGTCTCCAGCTGAGGTCTTTCACATCTCCTGTTTCCTGACCCATACAACAGGAGATGCCGGGGATTGAACCTGGGACCTTCTGTGTGCCAATCAGCGGCTCTGCCACTGAGCCATTGCCCCTCCTTGTCTCATGGGTTATTTACATTGCCATTTCCTTCCTGCTATCCTCAACTTAACCCTGTCATTCCTTCTTCCAGGCCTCTCCTCTCAGGAGTCCGAGAGACCAGGAAACTCTGAAGATGAGGGGGAGCAGACGGTGCCCCCCACCCCTGATGA